TGAACCATTTGCTCTGAAGGACTGCTGAAAAGGTGAAAGAATTTTAATCACTGCCTAAAAACTGCAGCAGATAAACCCAAGAAGTTAACCTGCCTGTTTTTTCCCAGCCTGGCTTATTTAACATCATGCCATCTGGATGGCTGAGAAATGATGAGAAGTCACTTGCTCTCTCCGTGGTTTCGCGTAGCAGAATAACAATTCTGCTGAGGGCACAGTTCGGACTTCCCTAGATGTAGAATTAGCCTATTCCTACCCTGTACTGCTTTTCTGAGTTCAGCCACATTCTTCCAACTCCTCTGCCAACCTGAAATGCACCCTCAGACCTCAATGCAGGGTACAGGCCCTTGTACTTCAGAAGAGCAGCAGCCCACCTTGCTTTGAGGTCTCAGAAAATGAGGTTCATCCAGCTGCCTGCTGGATAAACGCTACACTGTTAGATGAGAAAAGTCTGCTGCTCAATGTAAAACCAAGTTTCCTAAAATAACCTGCTCCTATTTGCTCTGTGGCTGTATCTGACTGAGGCCTCCTGTCTGCACAAAAGGCTGTCCCTGATCAAGGCTTTCAGGAAAACTGCTGCATCACTTCAGAACAAGACAGGCAAATCCAAGACAAACATGTGGAGCAAGGGCGGGATCAAGGCTTGACAGCTTATTTGAGCAAAGAAGGTTTCTCCTTTCCAAGCTCAAACTCGTTCCCAAGCCCTCCTTCCAAGGCTCCCCTTCCTCTAGGCTGAACCACTGTACACTCACTCAAGTGCCCTAACCTGTCAGCACAAAGACACCAGCTCCCACAGGGAGAAACACAGAGGTCCGCGACTGGGACCAAACCTTGGACCTCCCTCTATCCTCAGGCCCTGCTGGAATGATGAATCCTATTGCTTTGCACTCACCTCCGTTTGCACGAGGCTTAGATCCCAGCTGGTGAGAACAGGGAATCCCCTGCTCTGCCCCGGTGCTAGCTGCATGGCACCTAAAGAGCTCAGCAGGGTCAAGTGGCTCAGAGTAACACTACAGTCACAGACAGATGGGAGACATCATCAAGCCAAGATTATAAAAGTAGAACAGACAGCGCAAAAACTTGCTGCAGCTGTCATGGAAACATCTTTTTTTATTTAATCGCTGCCCCAGGAATCCCCAAACCCATCACAACCTCCCCCACCCTCAACATTCAACAGGATTTCACAAGTCCTCCGTTGCCTCCAAAGTTTAGGCTCCCCTCCCCCTTCAGGGTCCACGTTCCTGCAGAAAAGCTCCAGTCAGCGGGTATCATCTGTGAGACGGCTCCCAGGGGGCCATGGCTGGATCCCAGCGGTGTCCAGCTGGGTCTGAGAGGAGGGGGAGGAGGACTTGCTCCTTTACTCAATCAGTTTCTTAGCCTTGAAGAAGCGACGCAGGTAGAAAACCTGCCAGGTGGCCAGTCCGATGAGACAGCACATGGAGAAAATGCTGAAGTACAGAACGCGGGTGTTTGTCGACTCTGAAACAGACAACAAACCATTGCACAGGAGTCTGACATCACAGGATGTGCCTCAAGAGGGTGAAGTTCCCAGGATTTTCTCTCCCCACCCCTGTGAAACTTCAAAGGCAAGATACCACACAGCATGAAGGCAAGGGCATCCAAGCACCAGCAGTACTTGAGAATAAAAGCAGAGGGCACAACGAGAAGGATAACGAGAGGGAACAAGATGAAACTGTGGTTAATGGGCAACATTAAATGGTACAGACTAATTCACATTTGGAATGGAGACATGAAGAAATGATTTCTAGAGATGAGACACAAAAGACTTGGTGACTGCTTCACAAGGAGAGAAATATCAGCAGGTTTCCCTTACTAGGAACAGAACAGGCAGACCACCATAATTGCTTGATCTCCAAACGCTGTCCTAATAACACATTCAACAGAAATAAGGGGTCTTGGAGCTCCGCCCCTCTGCAGGAACACACAGTCTCTTACCATTCGTGTCTCTCATCTCCTCTTCTCGCTTCTTCATATAAGCAAAGTCGTTAACGATGGACTCTGAAAGATCTTCCAGGCGCCTCAGTTCTACTTCTAGAGGCTTCAACTTCTCCACTTTCGCAATCTAGAAAACAGAAGTCAGGCAATCACTGAGCCAAAACCAAAAGCTCCCACATGGGTTTTTACTGCCAGTTTGAAGCACTCCTCCTCACACACTACAGATCTGGGGCATCCTTCCCCTAGGGAAACACCTCTACAAGCCAGAAACTACCATTGCATAAAACACTATCACTTCTCCCACCTGCTCTCTGAAACACACTTTCCTACTACCCCTCCTACACAACGGAGGAGCACAGTGTGCATACAGGCACATTTCTTCCTTATTCGGCCTAATGTTAGTTTATTCACAGTTGGCTTCTGAGGAGTGGGCAGAAGAGCCTACTACATGACTAAACCTCCAGTGAATAGAAGTCACAGACGGAGATACAGGTGACTAACTTACATACGCATACAGTATTGCTCTATAGGCACGCAGGATATCAGCACCGAGACTCACTTTGCTAACTGTTGCCACACACCCCGGAAAGCCTGGGCAGCCTGGTTCCCAGTCGTAGTGGTCTGATTACACCCACAAGAGCTCAGAGCTTTTATTACTTAGACTGATAACCTCAAGTGCAGCATATGCTCGTGGTAGGAGCCATGCAGCTACAAAGTGCTCCATCTGCCTCAAGCCACCAGATGACGCTGCTGGAATGCTTAGAGGACAGGCTGCCTTTGAGCCAGTTCAAAAGAAAAAGAAAAATACACTTCCCTCATAAAAGCTGGTTTTATAGGACATTGGTTTTGTGCAGAACGTGCAACCCACAGTCCTACAGTCACAGACTTGTATCCAAAAAGAAAAACCCGCAGGAAATTCAATTAGAAAGCACAGTCCACACCAGCAACTATTTAAAATTCAATGTGTACACATGTGTCCCTGCCCTAGTCCCTGGCTGCAACCTGACTACACATTATGTAAAATCTGCGACACAAGAACATTACTCAAAGGAAACTAACTGCAATTCCTGTTACTGCTACAGCAGAGGGTTTGGGTAACTTGCGTAGAATTCGTCACTATTACCGATGAGCGACAGGCCCCTGCCATAAAGGTCAGATGCCACGTCCCCGAGCAATGCAGCAGAAGAAAGATACGCTCCAGAAAACTACAGAAAACACAGGGAGCACCTGCAGCTCACCTCCAGTCTCACCACCATGCAGGATTACTCAGACATAAGCCGCAGGACAGCATCCCTTGATGGCCCTGGTGCCAACAGACAGGTAACAGGGCACCTAGGGTGCAGGCATCCCCAAAATGCTGACTCCAGAGGCAGCTGCCTGGACGTCAGAGCCCATCTGAAGCGATGCTCGTGACCAGGCCAGTGTTAATCAGCCATTTCACTGAAGGGTCTTCACATGACATGCATATCCTGGCAAGCAGCAGGCCATCAAGCAGTCATCTGAGGATTTTTATGCTAAGGCAAACTGTATATTACAGCTCTGCCAGCACAACAGTGTCAATTTGGAGTGCATTTGTGAGGAGGGTAAGAAATGGGAGGTTAAACCCCTCCTGCTTTGTAGCCAGTAGGTTGTACTGACAAAACCCTGCAGCCTTGCCACATATCTGCCAGCAGAGCTTTGCTGAAAAACTGGCACCAGTGTAAGCGTGCCTGTGGGCCAGACTCTGCTGACACCGCTAGAGCAGCAGGTCTGTAACACACACAAGATCTCAGGCAGCTCTGCTGACAAGCTAACCCTGCACTGACTGGCTCCACTATCTTCCTGGTGGGCACTTTTCCTCATTCACAGAGGCCTACAAAGGTTCCACTGGGAAAAAAACAAGTTTTGTCCATTCCATCCTGCGTCCCTTCAGCTGCTCTTAATAGGTGTAGCTACAAACATCTGATAGTTACTTTCAGTCTTGCATGTACTCTGAGATGCACATCTTGGAACCTCTTTCATCCTTAGCGAAGCCAACATGTACAAATATTCCAAAGGGTTTTGTAAAAAGCCCACCAAGCGTCTGTGATGGTGAAACACCATCATCCTAAAAAGAACATCCGGACCACCAGAACAACTGAGACAACTTTACTGAACTTCTCAGAGGCCACTCAAAGATTCATCAAAGCCTAACTCCCTACCATAGAAAGAGACACGCTATGGCCAAGAATCAGAAAGGAGTAGCTGAACCGGAAAGGCACCTAGATCACCAAGCCTCTGGGTGCCCTCTGAAAAGTCTTTTCACTTTTCCCTGCCTTAATTTCTGCTTACTGAATGGAGAAAGTTATTCCTCCCTACCCCAGAGAACGAAGCTATGACACTGCCATGCAGTAAAGTTTTCTAACCCACCTCGCTCTCCCAGTTGCTTTGCTCCAAGAATGTCTGGATCTATGAAAGCTTATGAAGCCAGACTTAGACATCACCCCTCCTCTCACTGCATACATCCATTCACAAGCAGGACAGTATCAGTGACCCTCATTCAACTCCCTGCATCGAGTCTCCTTGCAGCAGTTCAACAAGAACTGGGGAGGGAAACAGGTCACTGGTACCTTACAGCAGATGAACATCACAAGCAAAAGGCTCAAAAAGGCAGCAATTCCAGGAGAGAAACCTGAGCAACAGTCCTCCCCTCTGACGCCTTACGGCAACCTGTCAAGACAAAACGCACAAATACTACAGCAACCTGCGGAGAGGATGAAAACAAGAAAACGCACTGCAAAGCAGTGTGGCTAAACATCCATAGCAGCTGAACAAACAATAAACCAGTTTGAGTCCTTTGCAGACATGCTGCTCAACAATGCTCAACACAGTCTGCACCTCTTGAGAGGTTCCCACAAGTCGAGGATGCTTGCCACCACTGCCAAGATCTGCATTTCATATCAGACGGGACTCCAAGTCTAAATTCTTTTCCCGTGTTTGTCCATGGACCCTTTCCATCCATTTAACTACACTGACGAGCATAACGGATACCTACTTTTATTCCATGACAGTTTTATCAGTACAACTGGTGAGTACATAGATATATGGGCATAAGAAAACCTTTCTGCATAGGGACAACGCTTCTAGGTAGCACCACAGTGAAGTAACTAGACTATGCTGTGGGGTTGTATTTAAAGAGATTCTGTGCATGTAGTCACCATAATCCTCCCAGTTACGCCCTCAGGGGTCATCCCTTAAGATTTCAAGATCTTGTAATCCTTCAGTAGCTCCTTGCCAGACAGCAGGCCCAAAGATTGCTCTGCTCTTCTCTGACCCCAAGTGCTTTTTTACTCTCCATGTAAGGTGTGCCCTAGACTGACTTATGCAATGATTGCTCTGCTCTTCTTTGACCCCAAGCACTTTCTCATTCTCCATGTAGGATGTGCTCTAGACCGACTTAAGCCACGCAGGACCAGCTACCCCAAAGCTCAAAAGGATATAAAAACTCCAGCATGCCCACCTCAGAAATTTGTTACTTTTCTAACTGACCTTATACACAGCCTCCTCTGCTACCCACTCTCCTCCCTGAGGCATCTCCCACGCTGCTGTGTGCAATGGACACAGCAATCATTTGCAGGAACCTTTCTCTGCCAACAACGTTCATTTTCTCAGGCACGGGCTCTGTGCTGGGGGCTGACTGACCTGAAACTCCAGTGGGCCAAAAGCATAGTAGCAGCCATCAAAATTCAGCCTCCAAACCAGCCAGGACTGTCCCAGCCACAAAGCAACTGCTATTCCACACAGCTGGCTCTTGGGTCTAAGCAAGCTATGTCCTTCTAAGATGGAAACATCTAGGCTTTATGTCTGTTTGCAATGTCACGCCTTCAAACCAAATACCCATTTCACACCAGCTACTACTCTGCCAAACACCTTTACATTGATAAACTGCCAGTTCTTAGAAACACACAAGCACCACTCCAGAGCTGTTGAGCCAGTTCATCCTACAGTCAGGAAGGTAAGAACAGTAACAACACAACTTGACCTTTCGGAGGATCTGATATTAACCTAAAATGCCCTCCGCTACTGGGGCTGGGAAAACTTCACATCTCACTCTCTTGTTGTCCCTAATATCTACGCCCAGAAGCTGGGTCACGCTGTCCTAGCAAAAAAACTCACACTTTAGGCCTCAGTTCCCAGAGTACAGAATTAATTTTAGTTGATGTTTGTCTTTTTTTTTTTTTCTCCTTTAACATACAAAGCTTCACTGGAATTGTAGGTTGCAGACAGGCTTTCATCACCGCTGGGAAAACAGCTTCCCATCACGAGCCCCAGCTCTACAAATGGCATCACGTGAGTGCTGGGAAAGGCGAGCCTGCAGTGCAGGCAGCGAGGGGACGTACCTCCTCGTAGTTCTTTGCTTCAACTCCATGCTTCATATCCAGAATCACAAGCTGGTCCGGCATCCTCCCTGTTCCTGGAAGCATAATGAAAGGATTCATTGTGCGAAACATTCAGCCTGCCAGGAAATCATGAGCTCTCCCCACCACTGAGGAAGAACTCACAACATCCCTCCCCTCCCTCCACGTCTGCAGCTAACTGCGGAGGCAGCACAGTCCAGCCTAAAAATACAGAGACTTTACAATAAATCCTGGCTGAAGGAGAGCCTCCCAAAGATAATGAGAACAAGCTGTAACAAAAAGTGCTAAGTGTGTGTAGGACGCAAATCACTGTAAAAACTGCAGAGGACTAGAAGATGAATGCCAGCTGCTATGAGACAGCCTGGTGAAAGACAAGTCACCAGAGGGACAAATACTCAACTGGGAAGCCCACATTTTTCCTAGCAGGAAGTGCACCAGCAACTTGTCAAGGTTACTGGGGTTGTAAATGATTTTACATTCAAAGGAGCAGAAGGTAAACTGCTCTAATTGAGAAATATGGCATATGGGGACTGCTGACCCTCGCATTCTGCAGTATCTGCAGAAACAAAGGCAAACTCTTTATCAATGAAAGAGCAGCTCAGATGTCCAAAACCCACATTGCTAACACAAATCCCAAGATGGCAGGAGGCTTCTGAAGCCAGGAAAATGCCCCTTCAGAGAACTGCCAGCTGAAGCCGCACAAACAGCAAGTAGGATAAGGCTGCAGTCAACAGCACAGTAAGTATCTTTTGAGGCTGCAGCCCCCAAGCTAGGGACACCTATGGCCAATAGCTTCTTTTAACTGCTACAGATTATCACATCTGAGAACATTCACAAGGGGAAAAAAGAAATATATAGGATAGGCATGTAAGATACTCTAAAAAAATGCAGCATGTCAGGTGACCCAAATATCATATTCCACTATACCACCCACTAAGAAAATGTCTGTACATAACACATTCCCAAATCCCAGCACTTTGGGGCATACAGTTGTCCTCAGATGACTGCCAGCAAAACACAAGGTCTGAATTCACTTATACTATGAATTTCAGAGTCTTTATCCAGAAGCATGTCCAATATTCACACTTTGCCTAAGGAGGTTGCCAGGTGGACATTTCCTCACAGCTCACAAACAAATTCAATGTACAGGTTACACTGGGTCACTCCAGTTGGAGCTAGGAAGATACTTCAGATCTTCAACACAACATCCTCAAATTTTCTCTCTACCCACCAAACAGCTCTTCAACACCAGAGCAGAATCACCTCCACCTTCTACTGCCAGCAGAACATGGAATAACCTATTGACAAGACGGTCCATATCAACTACAAACTGTTTCTTAAATTTCCTGAGGGATACAGGAGCTCAAAATTCAAACCCAGCTATGTAAGGAACCAGTGGATAAATCAGGATTAGGATGGAATTTTTTGGTTTTCTTACACAAGGTCAGTTACTGTGAAAACAAACTCAAATCCCAGCACTGTTCTTTAACAGAGAGGCTGTACACAACCACCCAGTGCTTCTTTCTCCAACCACAAGTTTTGACTGCTTATGCCATACATATATCAGCATGTCTGGAGACTGGCAGGTAGGACAGTAGCTTGCAGAAGAAAATTCAAAGCACAAGTTCAGTGAGAGGTTTTGTTAATGTTGTTTAAATTACAGCAACCTGAGTGGAGAGCTGGAGCTTCCAGGAAGAGATGAGAAAGATGAAAAGGCCAGTGAACAAGAGAACAGAACTGGAAGGATTAATTTGTCAGGCTGGAAGGGAGAGCTGCCAAGAGGCAGTAAAAAAGCAGAAAACTTAGAGCTGCTGGGTGTAAAGGGACAGAAAGCAGACATTCTGCAAGAGGTTAACATTGTCAGGGACTGGCCTGGAAATACTCAAGCTACTCTTCTACAAATTTACTGAGCCCAAGGCACTTGGAAGCTCCCTTCAAGCTCATCGGATCCTCAGTAACTCTCTGCTCTTCCTGCAGCCAGGGCTCACCAGAACAGACTGGATCAGCAACAAAGAGAAAAACAGTTCTAAGTCCCAGAGATCTTGAACTAAATTGATTTCTACATCCCCCAGGAAGTCTTCAAGAGGTCATCTCACATGAGCATAGAATTGTTTCCTGGGAGATGAAGAGAGGTCCCAATTTGCAAAGTCAGTGAAAAAACAGGATGGTTGAACTGGATGTCAAAAAGTTTTCCCAAAGGAATTCCAGAAAAAATGAGCCATAACACTCTTCAGAAAGTTTGGGAAGAGAAGGATTACAGAAGGAGCAAAGAGGTGAAGATTAGCACACAGGAAGAGCCCTACAGGGGAGCATGTAGTGCAGGCCAGGCTGTTTTTCTCAGAGATTAGCATACGGTGTGAGTGTAAGTGTGCCTGGACACAGAGCACTAGCCAGGACAAGACCCTTCCAACCTGGAAGAAGGAAAAAAGCCTGTCATGCAAACACCCATAGCTCCAAGCAGCACCCTAAGAACTCTTCCACTCTGATAAGGTGGACCTTCTAAATAGGACCTCCTTCTCACTTCCTCTTCCTTCTTTCTGTGGTTAAGGACTGAGCAATCCCAGTTGCTTACACTCCTCAGGTCCTAACGGCTCTAGGCTTCCTCTACCAACAGTTTTTCTCTCCCAGTACTCCACCAACATCCTCCTTGGCTGCTGCATTACAAGTCCTGACCACTTACTGTGGAAAAAAAAAACAAAAAACAACCAAAACCAACTCCTTTAAAGAGAAACATGGGTATAAAACAGTGCTTGGTCAGTTCTCCCATTCCCTGACCTTACAGAGGAAAAAAAGCACTTCCTTGTGATGTGGTTACTTCTTCTACAGTACTTCAACCAAGTCCTGCAGATGATCAAACCTTGCAGTGCCACTTCTCTTACTTTAATTCCTTGATTACCAGCACAGCATGGGAGATCTGGAGATATTCATCATGCAGCATCTCTCTTTAACATGGAATTTGGGACGTCTGGGCTCAAGAAGAAAATGGCAGTTTGGTGGTCCCCAAAGAGAAAGCCTCCAGAAGAGGATTCAGCTGCTCAATCAAACAGCTCAAGATTTTGGCAACTCAAGGTCCCACTGGTCAACAGGTAGAAGCTGCACTTTGAAATATTTTATGCTCATCAGTACTGAAAGCTTTAAAACAAACTTGCAACAATACAAGGGAGCGAGAGAACAAACATTTGCTACAGTCAAAACAGCTATAAGGGGCTCAGTCTCGGCAAGAAACCTCTGGTCATAAGCACTGAAAAAAGAGTCTAGACACAACTAAAGAAAGAAGACTTTCCCACTTCAATGTGTGATCACATGGAAGCTATGAAAGGGTTTGTGGGACTGTCTGGAGACCTCCTAAATACCCAGGTGTTGGACGATAAATAGCATGAGTGACTCCCAGATGAGTCACTACTGTCTGCATGTCTCCATGCGATGCGTTAAGAAGCGTTGGGAAGCCCTACCTTTGAAGTGAAATAAAAGCAAAATTCTGAGCATTTTGGGTCACTGTCTTATCTGTAAAATACTATAGAAAAGGTGTTACAAGCCAGGTCCCTCCCAGCAAAGAAGATAGCCTTCTCTTTCTGGAAAGTTCTCTTCAGCTTGCAAAACATTTGTATCTTATACATGGAGCAGAACAGGAAAACAGAGGCTGCCTTTCAACAGATATGAGGAATGCTGCTAGTGACTGCTCTGTGAAATGCTCTGGGATCTTTCAGGATAAGATCTAAGAACCACCATGTCCAGGGAGCAGAACTCTCACAGTGACTGTGAAGAGACGGGAGCACCTACGAACTTGCATGCGCTAACACCACCACAAATGAGACTAGAGCCCACGTGTTGGCTGTTTTCTGCACGTTTGTCCTGAAGTTGAGGCCAGCCACTCAAAGCAGCACACGCGTCACACTCACAGGAAACCAACCTCAGTGCTCGTTAGGCAACCATCCCTGCAGCACAAATGCAAGGCTGACGTCCTGCTCATTTCCCCTTCCCTTTATTGACCGCTTAGAGAGCAGTTGTTGAGTGCACGTACTTTACACACACCCACCCCCAACCCCAGAAAATGGCTGCTAACCTAACGCAGGATTGCTGCCAAGTACACAGTGTGAAGAGATCTTATTCCACCAAATTGGAAGAGATGGTCAGGTGGGGAGAAAGACAGGGTACCTGGCTTGAATGCAAGATGAGGAGAAGCATGAAAAGGGCAAGAGAGGTGTTTGTTTGCTATGCAGTACTGCTACTCATTGCAACTGTGGTGACCTCTGCAGGAGGAAAAGGCGAGTCCCCTTTCACAGGAAACGCAAACGGTCAACACAACAGCCACAGAGGATTACTTAACTTGAAAGCAACATCGACAGCAGATATTCTGCAGTGAGACTGCCCACAACCTCCAACGATCAGCTTTAAAAGTCAAACAGTGTTCTGTGGACCACACTCAGGATCACTTTACTCATAACCCTAATCCACAAATCTACATGAACTTGTTCAGAAGCCAGAAGCAGCCAACAGACCTTTCACTTCACTTACCCACAGGAAGCTTGCTCTCAAAGCAGGCCTCAAACATATCATAGTCTTCAGTGGTGAAGGCAAACTTGCCCTTAGTGGCATCCTCCTTGGCATACAGGATGTGCCCAGCTGAGTCAGTTATCTGTAAGAGAGACAACGAGGGTGAGAAACACAGTGCTTTGCTGCCACAGGCTCACGCTGCCTGTGCGGGAAGAGTTCTCTTGGCCTCCCCTTTGGATCTGCTGTTTTCTCCTTTCAACAGTTTCCCTCCTTCCTTGTGACTCTATCAGTTCCTCCCCTCTCATCCCCGCTCCAGAAGCAGACAAAGTCAGAGTATCTCTAAAGTAATTATTGACTCGTAGGTTAAACAAAAAAAAAAAACCACCCAACAAAAGCAATCAACCGACCAACAAAACCCAAAACTGAAAACCACACTAATTCCTCTTCCTCCTGTAACCCCTGAATACAGACTACATATAGGAAGTCTATCTGAACCAAACTGTTATTCATTGCCTTAATTTTGCATGCAAAATTCCCATAGCAACAGAGATACGGAGAAACCTTATAGGACAAAAAAAGACTCATTCCCCAGAAGATGAAATGCAGAAGGGCACATCTATTCCTCTAGAAATGAACCATCAGCGTGGCCCTGAGTTATACAAGGTTTAGGTGCCAAGATCCATAAAAGAGGCCACTTTAGCGGACAATTCAGACTACACAGACAGAATAATGACTGCTTTGCACTAAGTCTATAAAATTACTAAGAATAGGCAAAAACTGTAGAGGCTCTACAAAAATGCTTCAACAAAGAGTAAAAAAAGGACACACGTTTCACAATGCAGACTTGAGAATCATTGTGCTCAATTAAAGGCTTCATCCAGTTGAAATACACTGATGATAGAGAGGGGTGAAAAAAAAATTGAAAGCATTAAAACACCTTCAAGTGTTAAAAGCAACAGCATGTCTTCCACTGAAATGCCTCCCAGTTTCTCTCAACTGTATCCTTCAACAGGCATGTCTAAAAAAGCATGGGTGCTGAAGTTACTAGGGGTCTTTGAAAGTCTTGGAGGTGAAGAGACTGAAAAGCTTGGGAATAATTTCAAAGGTATATAAGATAGAAGTACATAAAATAATTTGTGGTATGGAGAAGGTAAGTCAGACTTTCACCTTTACTCCATCTTACAATAGAAAAACAGCCTCATTTCCCTGTACAAAGGCCATACAAAAGGGCCATGTACTCAAAATTATTCTAAGGAAACAATCTTCTTTCTTCTTATTAGAACACCTAATTAACTCCCTGCCACAGGATACCACTCATGCCAGCAGCCTGCTGGACTCAGAACAGGTGCGGACTGTCACATGGATAATGACGGTTGCTGCATTAGGCAGCAAAAATAATAAAGTATATAGATTCTCATGCCTGAGGGTATAAACATAGCAGGCAAGGCTTTAGGAACAAGCTCCCTCTACATACAAATTATTCTGTAATTGTCTGTTACAGGATTTGTTGTAGCTTCCCCTGCACCATATGGTATTCATCAGCATTCGAGAACAACAAGGAGAACTGCTCTCCTCCTGTGCTGCAGTTCCTGCTCAGAGCTCTACCTGTAATCAAGCGGCCAGCGGATGAAAGCACACCTGCGCAGCCCAGCACAGGCAGCTGCGTTGCCATCCCCCTGCCACAAGCTACTGACACAAGCCACCTCCCGTCTGGAAGCCACCAGACTATCTGAAGCACCATCTCCAGTCAGTTGTGCCTGTTGGAGTGCTGGATTGTCTGCACCTGATCATGCAGACATGGTGTAAAAGCCCATGTTTTGGCCACCGTACGGTGCACACTATTCGATGGAGCGGTCCTGCGTAACCGAAAGGCTAGTCTCATTAGGGTGATATCATATAACCTGCACACTGTGTTCTCCATCCCAAAAAGCGGTGACAAGAACACAGTAAAGAAAGCTCTCAAACGTCCCTATTATTTTGAGTCCTATTCCCTTAGGGCTTTCTAGAGACTAGAGCTAATCTTTAGCTAAAGGGTATTATGCAGCTTGATCCATTTTTGCCCTTTGCAGCTCTAGCAATAGCCTGCTCACGAACAGGATTCTGGACAGTAAAAGCTCTGCTATCCGCTTTCATCAAAATTGAATAGCATTACCCAAATCAGCCAAATGCACTGCCCGTTCAGCCGGGCGTGCGGGGGTGGGAGACGCTAATAGCCCAGCCAGAATGCTTGTGGGGGAGTTGACCTGAAAGAGATTTTTTTATGCTATTCTAACGTTATTTACGGTAACGCAATCCCCCTACAGACAGGGCATTGTTCGCCCTTGACAAACAGCCCAACAGTTCCCCAAACCGCCGGCCTCGACAATGGGGCAGAGGCACGTGGCCAGGCCCAAGCAAGACCTCATCCGCCCCGACACCGTTCCTCGGCAGCCAGCTGGCAGAGCCCACGGATTCCTCCAGAACAGAGGGTGCCACTATTAGCGCTGGGGTATCACACACACAAAGCTTAGCTCACCAGCAGGAACCGAACTGAGCCTGGCCGGAATTAACTACCAACCTCCTATGTTCGGTGGCCAGACCCAGGAGACTGAAGTAGACCACCCAGTTCAGAAGGAGAGAGACCACCTGCAGACACAATGTCTTGAACTAACCTTCCCACACAGACACAAAAAGAAAGTACGCACCTAGCAGAGGGATTACAGCACTTATAGTAGGCCCAGCATGTTGGCAGGCCACAGCATACCTGAGCAATAAGAAGGAAAGCAAGAATTGCATCTAATATAATTTCTCCTTTGTAACTTTCCAAACTAGTAAAGGACTTTTTTCTTTTTTTAATCTAGTTTTTATTTTGTTGTTAGGATAAAATAGAACTTCCATGAGCAGACCTACCTGGACACCAGCTTCAGCAACAAAGCCAGACTAAGACCCAAACGTGGGATGCATTGCTTCACCACTTCCCCACCTCCCTAGACAAGTCCTCTGTCATAAAAGTGAGTTTTGGAAGAGACTGTGGGGTCACTTGACCTACAAGTGGGCAACCAGAGAACCAGGAGGCTTGGTCACCAAGTCGTAAGAGACAGATAGGAACACGGCACTCCATCTGAAATACGTGCACCTTACCAGCCAAATAATAGAGCAACATTTTAAAGCATTAAAGCTGCTTGCCTCTGCCTATACACAGACAAGTTTCCTCTTACGAATGATGAAGAGCAGCACAACAAGATTTTTTTAAAATATAAGACTCCAGAAACAGCCTTCTCTAGCCCTAACCAAGCACAATGGCCAATAACCCAAAGTCTTCAGGTGTCTGTAGGCAGATGCTGGAAGGGCAACTTGACTTCAGGACATCTCAAATACTCACTCAGTAACACTGAGTTCAGAGACTGTCCTGTCACTGTTTGTTTGCGTGCTTAATTTTGAACCCTTTGGGAGCTCAGACAGGAATAAAAGACAGACGGAAAGCTGTTACGAACTGACTGCGTAGCAATAGACCTTACTCAGCTAGTTGGGAAATTTGAAGAAAGCCTGGGGGAGGCAGATTGTGGAGAGAATCAAAGTAAAGCTGTTGAAGCTTGAATAGCTACTTGTCACAATGGTGTATTAGTCACGTATATTCTGCTGACCCTTCCCTTATACTCCCTAAAGACCCTTCAGGATCCTTTTCTTTCCAGTAGCAAATACCTGCCTCCTCAAAATCCACACGAGTCACGACACAGCAAGATGGGAACAGGCATTTTGTCTACTAAAACCTTGCTTCTGAGCCCTCACCTCGCCCTTTCCCTGCGGCCTGCTCCTCCATCCCATCGTGCCAGGCCGTACACGAGGAGGGAGCCCTCGGAAAGCCACGTCACCATAACTCTTTCCTCCTTTACATGATGTCAGCCGCCTTACGACGGCCTTATCGCAGCGGCCC